CCTGGAGAATCTACGTATACGCGACTTTAGTATGAAGGAATGCATACAAGCAACTGGCCACACCAACACAAATCCAATAGACCATCTAAAGGCCTTTAGAACACCTCAAAAGCACCCTAATGTAGGCAAAGATTATATACCAATGGATTCCTGTGGAAAACACCATCCAATGTCATTCTCATGGGTTCTCGTTCACTCCGCGCTTACGCCGAAGAGACCTAGGCGGGTGCTCCGCGAGGTCTGCGCGACCGATTCGTTCAGGTCTGCGTCTTGGTGTGGCAAGGCGTGGCATCTTCGAGGTTGGCCAAGGATCACAGATGAAAAGAACCAAGTAACGCGATGGTCGATGGTCCAACCTGTTACTAGCAATGGCCTCCAACCTACTAGGGCACCAAAGATGGAGGTCACACCACGGACAACTTTGACCAGAGGACGATGCATTGGTCTTTGCACCGATATTTGCACCGATGACTCCAGGATGACATCCATCTTATGACTGACGTGGATTAGCTTTGGGCTTGGTGGATCCTGCTGGGAACGGATCTGGATCTGGATCAAGAAATGCAAGCAGAGTGCCTGTTCTGGGTCCAGTGGTCAAGAAAAGCAAACTTCTGGCGCCACAAGTCCTGCTTGGTAGGAAGCCACCCGAAAGAAGGATACATCCAAGCAAACAGTCAAAAAAATCAAAATTACACCAAGGTGCCAAGGGGGATATAATGTAGATGGGGATACAAGTTGAGGTGAGCTTTGCACCATGTTGCACCCGAAAGGTGCTTTGCTGGAACCACCCCCTTTGTGTTGCTTCCCCGGCTGGAAGTTGCGAGGGAACACCTGGCCATCTGCTGTTGGCGCGCCATCGGCGATCACGCAGGCCGACCATCAAATGCCCACCTCAAAGTAGACGTTCACCTGTCTGATCTCTTCTTGTACCTAGGCAAGACGCAAACAGCCAGACGGCTCGGCTCAGAAAATGATGCTTTTTAGGGCGCCGTGAGAGTCGCTATTGGTGGGGAACGAAGTCACATTTTAAGGAGCTACAGTAAGGCTTAAGGTCTGCTCCCTACAAGTCAACGACCTCATTTTACTGGGTGTGGTCATTGCTGAAGGAAGTAAAAGACCAGGTTGTACTGGGTCTTTGGACTTGGAGGGTGCTATTGGAAGTCGGAAAATCAATGCTTTAAGCTCCAAATCTTTCACCCCACTCACACCTTTTCACACCCTCCTCATCGTTCAAACCGAGTCAGGCTCTTCCGGGACGAGTTGCTGTGAGAACCAATCCGGATCGGACGGATGGCCTGCTACATATGCGGCCCTCGACTGGAGGTACCCCAAACATTCCCGAAGCAACCGAACCGGAGAAATTCGACTGCAGTGAACTGCCTCCAAACCGTAAGGCACGACACTACCTTCGTACCATGTCGTACCTTCGTTTCGGTTTGGCGGGACGGTTTCGGTTTGGCTTTGAAGTTTGGAGGGTCCAGTCCTAACCGCGAAACGGAGGTCACCTCCAGGTTCGCCCAGTTCGCCCGGGCGAAAACAGGGACCTCCAAAAACCGGTCATGAACCAGTTCACCGAAGCTCACCGGTGCGAAGCGAAGCTCACCGGACCCAGAGGGGGGCACTGAAATGCCTCGCCGTCGACCAATTCTCCATGAAAGAAAAGGTCTTGATGAAGTCAAGTCGACCATGTTAAAAATGTGATGTCTTCGTGTTCGAAGTCAACTGGAAGTCCAAGACGTCCCTGGAAGTCCAAGACCGTCCAAAAAAAGAAAGGTTGATCTGGTTTTGTAGTGTAAAACCCTTAGTGAGACCCATGCATGGTTGTTCGGGATGACCGGGCTATTAAAACAATGGTGGTTCAACTTCGAGGGTCTTTCTGTTCAGGTCCAAGAGCCTATACCTACCATGTACCTGGGGCTAGAAATCCCCCTGCAACGGACATTCCGCTGAGAAAGGTACAAATGACGTGATGACGGGCGACCTGCGCTGCTCACGCTCTCACTCGTGCTTTTGCTCAGCTTCTGACGCTCAGGTTGGCTCTCCATATGTCACAGCGGAGGCCGACCATGTCCTCAAGGCTCTCAGGGTCCGTCAAGTCAAGTGGTTGGAGGGGAGAGCCCCAAAAACCCAAACAAATCGCCGGAAATTCAATTGGCCGAAACGGATCCTTGGGGCATATTTGGGGCATGAGTTGGGTTCTTATCCGTTCTTGTTCGGGATATTTGGAAAATTGTATGTGTCTCCTCTGCTGAATCTGACGGATGAGTACAGCTACGATGGTCCTTGCGCCCGGTCCTTGCGCACCCCAAGACGTCGAGAACCGCCGGTTGCGACCGTTCCACTGGCGGAGTTCGGGTGTGAGGGCGTCGAGTGGAGTTCGGAAGCGAGCTCCCGGTCCTTGTTCTGTGCGTATCCTCGGGAGGTGTCTCACACGGGTGAGACCGCACGGTGAGGATTGGGAGGGGAAGGGGGAGGGAGTTTCTTCTCCAAAGATGTGCCTGAAAGAGTGTGGGTTGTTGTCCAGCATTGGTGTTTTTATCTGATCCAAGAAATATACAGTATTTACTCTGGAAAGCCCGGTCCAAAAGGGCGACACACACAGCTCAAAGGGGTGCTCTTCAAGCATATTGTAGTTTTCAGCCGTTTTCAGGCTTTACTTAAGAATGGACAGAAGAGTCTTCAAACCAACATGCCACTCTTCTGTCCATTTGTATGATGAACTAAATGACCCACCCACAGATGTGTGACTCTTTGGTGTCTGCTGTCTGTCTTCATCTTCCCTACGAGCCACATATGATTATAGGAACCACCCAATTGATACCAAAAGACCCTCAAATTCCAACAACAGGGGGCTTCAGGGGTGCTTTCTGCGCAAGACGGTCGGGCTTTCTTACCAGTTCCCTCCACTGATCTGCCACTAGTTTCCCTTCCCTGTAGTTCTTGCATGTTCTTGCTCTCCACCAAAACAAAGACTTCGCCCTTCCTCTTGGGAAGATGAGGACGACAAAGCTCTGCTGTCTCTCTACATCATTCTAGTCAGGCACCCAAGACTTGTTGTTCAGGATTCAGACCACGAAGTCACACAACCAGTCAGCCAAGAATTCGAAAAACGGAGCTGTTCACCGCTCATGGTGGACAGAACAGCTTCATGGAGGCCTTATCCACCGGAGTCCTCATTTCTAACAGCTCAGGGAGGACCTGAACCAGATGCTTCGGAGCTGAGCTCAGCTCAGCTCACTGAGCTCCACCAAGCCAGACAGGTCCAAGCGCCGTTGATGGCCGTTGGAGGGATCATATGAGCTCCATCGAGTCTTTGGACCAACTAATACTATTTGGGCCAACCCCAAAAACCGCAAAAACCATGGATGATGGTTCAGTTGCAGGCCTGGCTCTCAAGAATAGTAATGATACTTTACTGACTGTTACAGGTAATAGGACAGACTCAAAATTCTATGGTGTTAGCTATACCTGATGTCGATATTATTTTGGAAGACAACACCAGGTCAGCGGAAACAGACCTGCATGGTCGAAGCTCTTTTCTTCGGCGATGTCTGAGGATCCACACCAGTCCGCGCCGGCGCCATATCACTGATGTCTGAGGATCCACACCATCCAAGGTGCCACTACCATCGATGTCCAAGATGTCAAAGAGTGATGAGGCACTGCCCCTGCAGCGTGTCGGCTAAGCGAGCGAGCGAACTCGGCGTCCCGGTTCTTCGCGTGTCGGTCGGCGTCCCGGTCGAAACGATGGTGCGTCGGAGCATGGCGGTGATCTTTCTTCACGGGGGAATCGAAGTCAGGGTCTGTCCAGTTTCAAACTCACAAGGTCATAAGGTCAGGAAACGGCAACAACTAGTATAAGACACACGGCAATTGGTCTTTTCCTAATCGGAAGAACAAAAGTAAAAACATTCAAGTATATGTAACTATAACAGTATATGCATGTAACAGTACAGACGTGCAGTATATGTTTCTCGTTACGGAATTTTGGTCCTAGTCCAGATGTGTTCATCTCTGGGGGTCCAGATGTGCCGTTGTTCTAATTCTCATCGCCCCACGCTCTCCCACGCTCTCCCACGCTCTGCTTCTGGGGGTCGTTGCCGGGACTCCGTCGGACCTCCGCTCCCCCCCAAAAAACCGGGGCGCTCATCGATGCCAGCGCCGTGCAAGCGGGCCAAGAGGTTCTTCTCTTTGATGGCCTCGATGGGCGCGGTTCGTGTCCCAGGGCGACGTCGTTTCTTCGTGCGAAAGCGAAAAACCAAGCCCGTCTCGGGCGAGATCGGGGCAATCGTCGCGCCAGGCATGGATATCAATGGATGGTTGCTTGGAAGCGTAGCCACTCCCGAATACGGAGCTGTGTCAAAATGGGCGAAAATGAACAGAAATGAACTGCATAGACTACCGGACAGGTCAACCTGCCTTAGTTTGGGGCTTTGGGTCTTACCAAAGGCACAGGGGAGATCATGCTTGACCGAAACAGCTTGCGAAGGGGGACGTCGAAGATCGACTGAAAACTAGCCTGCTAGCCTCCATAGAAAATGGATGAAAATGGTTGGTCACTTTTTAGGTCTGCAAATTGTTAGTTACAGTAGATTTACTTAGGGACTCCAAAGTTCGGCCACGAACCTGAAGAAGCTGGTACCAAGTAAGGCTAGGGCTCAAACCCCGACCTGAGACGACGACTAGACCCTCCTAGACCATCTAGACCCTCCCGGAAGGCCTTGTTGAACTCTTCCTTGGAGAGTGTTCCATTTCCATCATTATCCGCATCTTTGAAGACCTCCAGGTCACGGCGTGAGAGGTGAGGGCAGATGGTCGAAGTCAGTCGATGGTCAGAGGTGACCAGGTGATGAAACAAGGGCAAGACATGCCATCCACCTCCAGGCCCTGTGCTAGGGACGTGCCATTCGTACAAGGCCATATGTAATGTAAAGCCTAGTTATTCTTGGCTGCAATCCGCAAACATCCCAGAAAGCGTTGGAACGGGGAGTGACCATAATGTCGAACGTCCGACGCGTTTCAGCGGCTGCGTGGCGGCACGAAAGGGTCGGAAGACCGTGCCTGATACAAGGACTTGCAAGTAGCTTCATATTCCTCCTGAGAAAGGAAGATGCAGGACTGAAGGATCACAAAACAACCGAAAAAGGATAAAGGTTTGGCCAGCGAGGGGTGGCAGCCTAGCTTGTTCGCTCATAGCTTGAGCTGTAAAACGTCCAAGTGTTCAAGAATTCTGTGCCCACGATTGTTATCTGGAACAGTTCAAGTGGCTGGCCCCTTCCACAAATCCACTACCAAAATCTGCACTACCACTGAGCCTACCACCGCTATCTAACAACTACTATAATCCCTGACACTAACCTACCACCGCCAATGACCCCAAACCTAGAAGCTCCTACTACCAGTGAACCACAACACTTATACCCCAAACCCGCTGCTGGGGACCCACTGTACCACTGACCCACTACCACTGACCCACTACAACTCACACGCTACCACTTACCACAAACACACAAGTAAACACTGCAGTACAACAAAAAATATCTGGGCAAATGGAGCTGGGATGGGCTGGGAAGTCAAAACATCTGGGCTTACAACCGATGAATTGACATGGGATGGTTGGATGGCCAGTCAGTATGGCGAGTCTTCCTGGTGGCCTTCGGAGCTCGGATTCAAGGCAGCAAGGTGACAGGCTTCGATTTATGGCCCCCTGTCCTGGCCTCTTGCAGAGCGGCTCAACAGGCTCTGCCCTCACTTCCCACTTCTCTGTCCACACCCAACCAGAGCAGCAAGCAGACCACTTGCGTGTGGCCAGCACTGGAGGCCACCCAGGGCGGTGTGCACCGGTGATATGGTGCACAACTAGAGCACCATCGCAGTACGTGGCCCTGACTACATGGATACCACAGAGATGATGCATTCCCAAACCTGATGAGACGATTTGACTGGCAATCCTTGTTGGCTCCAGCCTGCAAGAGTTCACAGCCTCCAGCTCGCATTCTGCAGCATTGAAGCGGAGCTGCTTCCGCTCTTTCGAGTTCCTGAAGCCGTGGCGAAAGGCATTGCAATGAGAGGCAATATGGATGTTGTGCGTTTGCTGCTGGGATGCTTCTGGCTGACAACCGCCCGACACTCCGACAGCAAACGCACGTTTCCAGCTGCAGACCACTGGATAAATCCAGGTGTGACAAGCTAGACTCATCCTGAAGCACCATCGCATTGTGTCAGTGCCAGAGAGGATGCAAACGCTGCTTCAGAGTCTTTACATCATTCAACTCAGCTGCCACTTCTTCACCAAACAGCTTGTTAGCGCGGACGTCATCCACAAAGTGTTTGCGCTCCACCTTCGGTGTTGGAGAAGCTCATGCTCCTCCTGCGCCTCATGCGCTCGCGCCGTGCATATTCACCCGGGGCGAAGCGATCCAAGAAACTCCCGGAGTGCAGGACACCTCTGGGCGCAGGACAAGTGTCACCTGATTGAGCCTCTAGGGCTCCAGGAGGTTCCCGTATGACTGGACCCTTCTGGCACCCTAAACCCTAAACACCTTCTAAGAAGATACTTGATTGATCTAACTTGGGAGTCAGTAAATAAGGTGACTGATGGAAGATCTGACATTGGCCCAGTTTCATGAACCTCCATCAGTCACAGCTCTTTGACACATGTAGCCTGGAGAGGGGATTGTTCTTGGTCCATTTTCCTAGAGTACTCGCTGTGACTTTTTTGGCCAAACATGCTCCTCCCTGACATGTGAACGTGCTTGATTTGACCTACCCTAGGCCCTAGGGCTCCAGTCGCACCTTCCTTTCGAAGGTGGGACTGGGGGTGCCAGGAGGGTCAAGTTGTACATTCGGAGGCACGACAGGAGCCCTATAGGGCCATATCATGCTAAGCTGCTATATTGATGAACATCACCTGAAGTCCACTACCTCTCCCTTGCAACGGGCGAAAACAAATCATTCCACCTGGTCCCTGCTGCCAGAAAGTCACAGCTTCATGTCTCTTGCGTGTCACATGAGCAGACCCTGCGTCCAGGGCCTTTGAGGGATTTGGAAGGCATCGTGTATCATCTTTTTTTTGGGAGGGGGGCGGTGGAAGATGTGCCAACCAAAAATATGCACTAGCAGTTCCATGTTCGAGGTGCTATCGATGGAGGAAGTGGAAGTCGGGGTGCCCATTCCACATCCACATCATTCCACGCATCCACAGCTAAGAGTTCATGGGACCAGCCGGTTTGTTCGCCTCGACTCCATCGGCGCAGCCGGCCATCGGTCGGGACTCGCAGCCCTCGGCGTCCTTCGCCTTCTTGGCGATGTCGCGCGAACGGACCGAGGACGCCTCGGGCCGAGGACCAGGTGCGGAGGCGACGGAGGGGGAGGGCGAGGGAGGCGGCGAGGCAGAAGTGGAGGGGTTTGGGAATGGTAAACTGCATCATCCTGGACATCGGTGTCCTGGCTAGACCCCACCATACTTACAGGTCTACTTACAGGGCACCCGTTGGATGTGCTAGGTGGTGGATGGTGTTTGATTGTGTTCTCACTGAGCTTTTGCACACAACCTGGTTGAACTTGGCTTAAAATGGTTCAGAAGGCTGTGGCACCTGTGGGATGTCAAGGACGCAAGGCAAGCAATTCTGGTCTCACTTCCAGATACTTCATGATACTTCCAGTATCAGCGTGAGATAATGTAGACAATGCGTGGCAGTAGTGACGGTGTTGACAACAAGACTTGCAGGAAGGATCAGAAAGGGATTGATTCATGGGCATGCCCTGGGCTTCCAACCACCATTTTGAAACACCATTGGTAGACTATAAGGAGTTGACACTACAGCACCAGCTCCACCAGCTCAGGTTTACATGGTCGAACGGACGGGCATGGCTTTGAAGCTTCAATTCTATCCAATTCTCGCAAGAAGGTTGAAAGGCTATCCACTGAGTGGGTAGGCTTAAGGATGTGGTCATCATGTGTATATACCTACCATAGTCTGTCGTTTAATCTTTACTTGGCTTGTTTTTCTGCATTCTCTCAGGACGATGTGATCGTCATGAGACAATGGCAAGTGCACGATATGGTTTTTGGATGTTTTTGGTTGATTTCTTCATCTCACCCAGACGCTCCGTTCACAGCCCGACTGGTCCCTCAAAACCATAGGGATTGGTTCGGGTCCGACCCCTGCATAGGATTCGGGTCCAGGAGCGTCTGGGCAGCTTATATATATTTTTCTTTTCTTTTGAGCGGCCAATCGCAGTTCTCTTCGACGGGCAGCCCGTTCCGGTGCCAGGCGAACAGGGGCGCCCGAACACCTGTGACCACGAAGTAGTGGTTGGCACAAACCAGTGCTCACCCGACGTTCAAACTAACTTATATGTTTTGTTTTAAGGGGATCCCACTACAGCTGGTGGTAACATGTGGTAACCAGTAGTTTCAGTTCGGATAGAAGCACAGATCTTAGAAGTCCTGGTTCCATATATAGTGTGGTAACTGGGGATCTTAAAGTGTATCTCTGGCCATGGATGAGTTTGGGGGTAGCCCAGTGGCCACCCAGGACGCTTGCGGCCCTTTTCTGGCCAAAAGCCAATCGGTTCATATTCATACCTGGACCTTCCAAGGGGTGCCCCATGGAGATCCACAAGTAGAGTAGGGGGCTTTCATTGGTGACCCCTTGGAAGGTGCCGGTATGATTTCTCTAACTGCAAGGCACGCTAAAGCCTCAGCCCTAGGGTAATTCAGCCCCATGGGAGAACCAGCAGTCGAGAAACAGCCCCTCCCTATAGGCCCTAGAACCCTACTGAGCGCGCGCACATCCATCGCGCTGTTCACGAAGATGGCCACTGTGACGTTCATCACACCTGCAGAACACCACACCGCTGGTGGAGAGAGTCGTCGCAGGGGACTAGTACCGACCGAGCGACCGACCTGCGACCGACCGTAGCAGGGCAACGACCCAATGATTGCCAGAATTCATCGGATATCGAACCTGCCCAAATGCTCCTGGACCCGAATCCCATGCGGGGGTCTGGACCCGAACCAATCCCTATGGTTTTGAGGGACCAAGGGCTGTTTGGAGCGTCTGGGTGGTGGAGATTGGGTCATGGGATGATCATCCGAGATCATCGGATAGCACCACAAGAAAGTGGATCATCGGGTCATCTTTGGATCATCCCCATCGTTCACCTCCCTTTTCCCTTCCTTCGGTTCGACCATTGAAAAAACATGATTGGCCTGGTTTTTGTCGAGTAAAATCATAAAACCATGGTTGTTCGAGAAAAGCAGTGCATGCCCATGATGGGCCAGGAATCCTAGGGTTTTCACCAGCGATGTTTGTTTCACTTCCTTCAAGATCTTCAAGCCAAAAACCCGGACCTTCCAGCACCCCGGCTCCAAAACCGTCCCCCGTGGCGGTCGGGTGCTTTGGTTCTTTCGTGTTCTTTCTGAGGAGCCCGGACCATAGGCGGTCAGCACCAACAGAAGAATGACCATGACACCGAGCCACCTGAAGATCGACGAGCGCTTAGCTCCATGAAGCTCCATGAACCAGAAACCAAAAGGAACGAAGCGAACAAAAGCCCTTAATATGTGCAGTTTTTTGCTGCGTGCCTGCATCTCTATGTATCTCTCATGATGCAAAACCTGACATTCATTGGGGGTCTCGTTTCGTTTCTATTTTTATCAGCAAAATGGAATTGAATTATGTTCATTGACGCATCTCGCTAGAATACAGCAACAGACTCTTTCTGAATGAAAGCGGATCGGGTTACAAGTTACAACACATAAATACAGAACACACTCCTTCTTATCTCAAAACGGATAGTCCTAAAAAGGAATAAACCATATAAACCTTTGGCTGCGGGAAATCAACCTGCCAACCCTCCCAAATTTCATGGGAGGAATCCTTCAACCTCCTCTTCGAATTGCTGAAACTCAGCCTGCCCACCTGCCGGCCCCCCTTTGTTTCTTCCCTTCGCCAAGCTCCCCCAACACATGGTGCTTCGACATCACGTCGGACACCTGCGGCCAGTCCTGCAGGCAGGGCAAAGCCGGTGGAGAAGACCGGGTTCGGCGAAGCTGGTTGGAGACCCTTCGGGGTGGAGAAAGAGGATGTGAGGACTCAAAGCTAATTACCTATAGCCTGTAGCCTATATAGCACTTCCTGTCTGGGGCTCCTTGTCTGCAGACCTGTACTATAGTGCAGGGTTAGTCCAGCCAGGTGAACCCGGTTCCCAGGAAGCAGCTGGTGTGGAGCCTTCGAACTGGGTCTGCCAGCACGAAACTTGGCAGCTCAGCTGAAGGCAGGGCTAGAGGGGCAGCTGAAGGAGAAACACTCCCGATGTCTCACTGCACAGGAAGCTTTCCGGCCTCCAAGGTGGTAATCTGAAAGACAGTAAACCTGGGTGCAGGTGGTGCAGGTGGCGATGCAAGTATGCAGACCAGACTGACAAGAAGGAGTTCGCTAGTTTACTTGACCATGAACCGTTGTCACGCCCAGCTGTTTCTCTCAACAGGGAACTGTTTCCAACCAAACCCAATTTGCAGAGCTTCTCCCAATCTTTGACACGCCCGGCATGTTCAGAGTCTGGCAAAAAGTCTTGGTGCTGGCGGATCCAAACCAGGGGTGGTTCATGGACACCCCGACCATATCACCTCTAATAAGGAGGTATTATTAGACAGCCCTGAATGGGCCCAGGAAGAGGCATATGTTTTTTTTTTTCACCCGATTCCTAAAGCCCCAGAGTTCCGGGAGTTCGCACAGTCGAGCAGCCGAACTAAGTTGGATGAAGCTCTGCCCCAGAGGTGCCTCGCCTCGGCGGCCTTGATGAGCTCATGTTATTGGACATACAAAAACACTACTTTCGGATGGTAAAAGACAAGGTTTTACTGGTTCTTTGGACTTGTGGGGTAATTATGATATATGCATGTATATTTATAAAAAGATTTGTGGCTGAGGTCATGATCATCCTCCCATCAAGATCATTTGCCCGGTTCTTGGCATGCTGAGGTCCCCTACACTGATAAGGTCAAAGATCCGTAGTAGGTCATCATCAGGTCAAAGTATCCCTGCTCCGGATCTTGCTCCGCCACACCTGGCGAATGACAAAGCTGCTGCTAAGCAGCTCCACTGGCCTAGCCAGGACCATCCAAGGTCCAAGGTGCCCCAGCCCCTAGTTGTAGAATCTCGCCTTTGCAGGTTTTTCCAATTGGGGAGACCCCCTTGGTTGGGGTCGTAGAATCGCCTGAAAGCCTTTGGGTTGACTTCGATTCCAGGCGCGGAATCTTCAAAACAACAAAGAACACGTCCAAACATGGAGCACTCTCAGGTCTCCACGGGCGGAACATATATCTCTTGACCGGATTCTCTCTTAACCTGACACGACCTCCACACCGAAGCAGCGCTTCAGAGCGCCGCTTCCTTCAACCGCGAAACGCTTCCGCCTCCTTCACCGCCCCGGATTCCGAGCATGACGTTGATGGGTTTCCCCTCCCATCCGGCGCAAGCGAGCTGGCGGCCTCCGGGACAGATGTCAGGCTTCAGGGCACGGTAGAAGACCAAGGCAAAGACATAGATGATCAAACCTTCGATCCGATCCGATCCGAACCGAACCGATCCGCAAGCCCCTTTGGATTGCTTTGGAGAAAGCCAACTGAGCCAACAACAAACCAACTAAGGAGTCAACCCATCCTACGGACCATCCCATCCCGTCCCACTCATAAGCAACCCGACCGATCGGGGGCTCCCTCCCTTCCATCCCATCTCCAGGGGTCCCGACTCATGAGCAACCAAGCCCAGACGACCGTCCTCGCTCCGTCGCGTGGATTGGGTCGTCGTCCACGGAGGGAAGGTGGCGAGGGAAGGTGGCGAGGTCGGTCCCAATGGTTTCAACCCAAAGAGAAAACTTATACCTAGCGCTTCCAAAGGATGCCCAATGGACACCTGTAAGTAGTGTGGAGATATATCCATTGGTGACCCCTTGGAAGCAGCTGGTATATAACCCAGGCACGACCCACGGGACTGCCATATATGCCTATATACATTGACCCCCCAAACTCACCACCCCAACTGATCGGCATATATGACAGACATGGAATGTCTGGGTAAGAAGCTTCCGGTTGATTCTGTTTTGGGACGTGCCATCTTCTGTGCCATCAGGCAAGCAAGCTAGGGACCTGACAGTGATCTGGAGTGGCTCCAGATGGGGTGCAAGGAAGGGCAAAACGCCTAAGGACCTGACATTCACTTGCTTGCCCGAAACAAAGAGGTCCATCCTTGGTGAGCATCCCTCATAAGTAAATGTAGAGCAGTCCATCACCTTCGGATTGGTTCTCGCATGTGGAAAATCGCTTTGGCAATCCTGCCAGCCATCTCCACCAATCCGAAGTACGTACTCGACTAGACCTCCACTTCCGGATCCATCTGGATCCCCAATTGGCGCGAGTGGTTTCAAACCCACCCTCCATCCACTCTCTCCATCCACCAAACCAATCGTTGAGTCCTCAGGGAGACCATGATGCCCGTGACAAGGAGGTATAAGGGCTTGAAGAAGCGCAGCAAGCGGATCAGTCGCACCTCGTGTCCGGCCGCCGATCTCGCTCAACGACCTTCGAGAAAACGAGAAAACGAGGTCACAAGGAGGTCACGAGGAGCTCCGAGCACACCGAGCTCGTGAGGGCGAGGCTCGGAGATTTCGAGGTTTTAGAGCTTTTCTGATTGGTTTCACAGGTCAGCCGGAATGGAGCCGAGTTCGAGGTTTCAAGGAGTTTTATATATAACCCAAACACTCCATGGGACTGGCATATTTACCTATATTGGCCCCTGAGCCTGAAACCACCCCAATGTGGGTGAATATGCCATACATGCAGCGTTTGGGTAATATCTTACAATTCGGTCGAAAGTCGTCATCTTCTGCCCTGTGAACAAACGGCCGTTACGTTGATTTGTAGCAGCACCTATCGTGAAGAAACGACGTGCAAATTCCACCAACCGAAGGTGCATAGTTCACAAAACGAGTTGAACCAACCAGCAGCTTCCAAACCTGCACAATCGCACTGCACACTGTAGGACCAAACCATAAAAAATACTCGTTCGCACTGCACACTCTAACACCCAACCATAAAAAATACTCGAGAAAGCATTGCTGCCTAGCTTGGACTTGCTTAATGAAAACGCATATTCCCCATGCTGCCAGGGGATTTACCCACGAAGCTGGGAAAGCTAAGACAGGGCCATGGCGCAAAAGCCAAGCTATCCAACTACACTCCATTGCTGCCACCATCTCCACATCTCCACATACAGCACTCTAGGGCGAAGGGCCAGGCCGCCCAAGCGCAAGAGACGCGAGAGCCGCAGACTCACCTCACGTCCGGGAAAGCCGTGGGGCGCTGCAGCCGTGCTCGGACGCGGCGGCTTGGTCAGATGCCCCTACGCTCCTGGGAGGGCGCACGGCGAGGGCGCAGGGCCTTACATCGATGATCTCCAAGCAAACAAACACCAGCAGCAATGGTTAAAGCATGTTATATATACTGTAAAGCCAGCAGCATCAAATGTGTTAAAAAATGTTAAAACATGAGTCAAAAACGTCCTGTTTTTTTCCGGATCCTCCAGGGTTTTAGAACTGGTTTTGGTTGGTATTGGCTAGAGAGACGTGGGCAAAGTCCACATATATTTCTCTTCAGATCCATGCATGTGTCAGAATATCCATGAAACCAACTAGCCAGTGGTGAAACCACATTGGATGTTTGGGATGCTTTGGCATGAATGTCACAGATGGGGCAAAGCACCATGTTGTTCCTCCACCCTGTAAGGCCGCTGTTACGAGCCCGCCCTGAAATCCGGATAACTGGAGGTCGAAAATGTGTTGGTTAGGCTCATGGCCTGGACCATGGCAGCACAGCCGAGACATCCAACTGGTACCTGGGAAAAACTGACCTCAGTGGTTATATTGCTACAAGCCAGCGTGGTAGGATACCCAAACTTCTCAACTTGGAGCCTTCCTTTGTTCTAAATGGTCACCAAGTGGGCAATGGAGATTAAGCAAAGGCGATCTTAAGTAAAAAATCCGGGAAGAAACGTCTGTGGAACGATTCGGTTGCCACCACCTTCTGTCTCCGCGCGTGTCAGGCTCTGAGACCTCCGGCCATGACATCCTGGGCGACAGACCAGGTCGAGACTCGGCATTGGATCCGTGCAGAAGCCGTTGCACCGCCCTACAGAGGTGTTCCAACAACCCCTGCTGTAGAAAGTCCACGTCGACTCTTGTTTTTTGCCCCAGCCAATGTATTTCTTGGAGTTTCTTTTGGGTGTCATCTAGTCTTGATAAAACACCGAAGACCCCCAAGTATTCCTGGGACCCATGGGATCGTTTTCCGTTCGGAGACCACTCAAAAAGGGGCAAAAAATACATGCCTCGGGCAACGGGCGGGACCCGAGCCACGTCGCAACCGGTTGGGATCGCCTGTCATATCTCACTCAACCATCGAGTCAGGCTAGGAGAGGGCAAGCTGTGTGTGGCAGACCTACCTGTGATGAAAACAAGTCTTCTGCAATCATCCTCAGGCTCGATTCGATGTCAGTCTTTTGGGAACCCTAGCTAGTAGGTCAAGCAACTGGAGCCCGGTACCATCCAGATCCGATAGTCTCCAATGGTCCCCAACTCGGATGGGAATACTATACCGTATGGGTTATACATATACCCATGACCAGGGCCCAGTGGATGATGATGGTTAGGTTGCAGGCCTGGCTCTCAAAAATAGTGATCATCTTAGTTACCGACTGTTACTGGTTTGCTGGGCTACACCCTCACCATACCGACGTTCTTGCATGGCATACTCAGACGTTCTTGCTGTCAGGCGTCAAGGGAGCTACTTCCTCGAATGATGACGATCAAAAGGTCTACGAAGGAGATCACAATGAGACCTGTCATGGGGCGAGTAATGTAGACGGGGCTCCTCTTGATTCATAAAGCCACCAAATTTGGATTGAACATGATTGAACAACCAAATTTGGATGTTCCATTTGATTCTTGGGCCACAAGTTCCTTGTCATTGAAGATATTGATGCAGCACTTGCATATTGGGTCTGAGTGCTGTGAACGTGCTGATGGTTCTATTTCCTTAAACTCCCTTGATATAATTACCTGACTACTGCGTGATTCTAGCCAAGAAATCAGAAGGGCGAGTTATGCTGCTCAGGAAGATCTGCAGGAATTGCTCGTGGCACCGCAACAGGCATGCGGCATGGTGCCTGCACGTTGCTCTATTGGCAGCTTCAGTTCTGCAAAGAGGGCACCGAGGTTGGCATGGGCACGTTCCACGGCCCCGCAAAAAAGAAACAACAACAACAACAACAGCCTCTTTCAAAAAGGCAAACAAACGGCGAACGCGCATGACCAACAATATGACATGAACTTGGATTGTGTGCTCCCGATTGCAGATTGCATAAAACTTAGCCCTTCTCAAGTCTTCCCAAAAGTTCATTGATCTTGTGGCAGTTTTGATAGCAATAGCCTTACAGTTGGATTCTCGCTGCACTTCTGTATCCCACCTTGCGGTTGTTACATGTTGTCACTAATTCCGGGTCATGTCGGTTCTTTTTTGTAACAACCCCCCTTCTTGATCCACTTGACTCACTTGACTCACTTGACTCTCGAAATCCACTCAGTTTTGCCTCAAGCTAGGCCACCAAGTCCTTCACCGGGACCATGACCCAGCTGCCAGCATCCCCAGATGTTTGATTCCTTTTGGGGGAGGGGCACTTCTACAGATCTCCCGCTGGCTGATCCGGCGTCCATTTCTCCCAGATCGGCCAACAGATCGGCCGAGATCTGCCCTGGCTGCCTAAATCCATCAGATTGAAGGCACTCTTGAAGAAGTCGGACTGGCCCGTTTGGTCGGCGTGCGGACTTTGGTCGGAGCAGGCACAGCTCGCTTCGGGGGTCTGACCGTTGGATGCATCGAACGCCAAAGGAAGAACGCGACACCAACATGGAAACCATTGGAAACCTGAACATATTGAAACGTGGGCTCAAACAACGTGATTGATGTGATTGAACGCTTTTAATGTGTTCAAATGATCCCACGGGGGGCAAAGGTATACCTTCGCAGCAAAGGCTTTGGGGCCCTGCCCATCTACTGCCAGTGACTCACAGGCCGTAGCTTAGAGGCTACGTGGCCTGAGAGGAGCTCCCAACAGAGATCAAGCCTTACCAGCAGGGTCTTCTTAACGCATGTCATGCCATAAGAATCCGAACCTGGAAAAGGACATTGGTTTGAGTGCCAAGCCCTGCTAAGATGTCAGGTCCAAGGATTCTCGGGGGTAAGAAGGCAGTGGGTGAAAACAGTGGGTGAAAACCCAAAAGGAAATGAAGAGAATCGATTTCCAGACAAGTCAACCTACAAGGAACTGGAGCTTCAGGTTCAAAAAACCCCAAGACACCGTCGCCGCCAGAAATGCCGGACCGGGCCCCGTAGGCGATGAGCCGCATGGTAAGTTCCAGGAAGTAGAACACGGTGAAGAGCACCTGAAGTGGATGAAGGATGATGAATTCAATCCTTTTTGATGGACAAGTTAATGGACCATTTTTGACAGCGCTGATACTTTTGGGGGTCCCTTTTGGATATTATGTGTCATTTCAGGATCAAAATGATCTAAGAGTGGTGCAAAAAAAGGGTGCCAAGATGCGAAGATATTGGTGAGAATGAGGAGCTCACAAGGTCAAGGGCAATCTGAAGAGGTTTCCAAAGCCCTACACCCTCCCCTTGTCAGCCAGACTCTTCTGACTCTTGCTTTTCACTTATATAGGGGCATTAGCTTGCGCCTAGTTGGAGGCGTCGGAATTGTCGTTCGGTTCGGAGTTCACCAAGGAGGCTGGGCTACAGCCTCTCAAGAGTGAGGTTAAATTATTATCCAAGACTTGCAGAGACCACTCCACCGTACAGGTACATCTACCATCTACCAAGGGCCCCGCATACCAGTCCATCCAACATCCCAGAAGCACCCCAGGTCATGGGTTCCTTTTTCAGATCACCCAAAACCTCCCTCGGATCTCAAATCTGAGCTGTCCACATCCACCACAAGGCTCCCCTCATCTTCCAAGCCTCGGCGGATGCGGCGTCTGCCGGAGTCCGCTGACTCCGTTGTCCCAGTGGCGATGACTTTCACTCACTCACTCACTCACTCACTCTGCCGTGACGGTTGCATCGTGGAAGCTTTTTTCGGGTGGAAGACCCTGAAGGCTGGTGAAGGTAAAGGGGAGCCAAGCGACTTGCGCACAGGTCCTGCGACTCGAGTCTAGGTCGAGTCTGGGTGAATCCTAAAAATATATAGGTTATGGAGATGACCCGGCACGGACTCGAGGCAAAAAAAAGACATGTGGAGCCTGATTTGGCCTAATGTAAGCCCAAAAGCATCATCCTCAAACAGAACTCGTCTGGACTGTAGTCGGGTGCTGGTCAATGAATTTCTCAGCATGGCAAGAAAAGCAGAACATCAGGGGAATCAGGGGGTAGGTTTCCGGACAGTCTCCGTTTTCTCACCCTAGGGATCCAGTCGTACCTTCTCAGAAGGTGTTTGTGCCAGGAGGGTCCAGTCGTACTGAACCTCACCTGAGGTTCAGTACGACTGGATCCCTACAAGTAGAGTCATGTCTTCTCCTTCCTTGTCTGTCTAGGTGGATCCTGGTCATCTAATCCATGTCTTCTCCAGCTGGCCGCCTCGAAAAAATGGCGCAGACCGGACCTCTGCGGGTCTCCATGAGGAAAAGAGCAATGCCTTTAGTCGTGGATCCATTGTAGCTGGTAAGCAGTGGTTCCAGTTCGACTTAATCCCTAGACTGACCGAAACCCTGGTTCCTTGCCGTCCCAAAATGCCTTCGCCAATGACTCAGCCTCGCTCTCCGAGTCCCTGTTTTCCCGAGGACATGGCCCATGTAGACGGACTGCCCGAAAATCACCAAGACCACGAGGGACATAAACCTGAGGGGCCATGGACCGACTTTCTCGATGGCCAGCTTCATCAGGCTTCTATCGGCTTTATATATTCCCAGGTCCCTGTCATGCATACCTGCCAGAGTATTATTCCCACCATACATATCTACATGGTGGATCTTCCAATGAAACGAAGAGTTTCTCGACATTCAACAATCAAAATCCCCAGGCATTAGCCGGACATTCCATCCCAAACACTCCATCAAAGTGCCATGACGGACTGCCGAGTTTCACGGCCAGGGGTGGTGAGTTTGGGGGGTCTGTCTGGGGCATATGGCAATCGCAAACAGGTCGTGTCTGGACGGACTGGAATGGAGGTCTCTGCATCGACTCCATTTCAAGCACCAGGGTTCCTTGGAGTGAGAATGCAAATGTGCCTCTAGCATAGGCCCGAGGCCCACCTAGGCCCACCTTTGAATCAATCCCGTGATCGTTTTTGGCTCGAACACCCATTGTTTTGCTCAGGATTTTACACTACAAAACTACCAAACCAGGCGCTGTTTTGTTTTCTGATTCTAATGGTCCTGGAAGGCCAGGGTCCCACAAATCTGGACACTTTTCGGAGGACTCAGCTCTCCATCCGTTGACCGCCTTTTGGGTCGGCGCTTGGGAAGACGAGACGTGCGGCTCCGCGCTGGGTCAAAGGCGCCGGGTCGACGGTTTGTCCATCCGCTGGGTGCAGATCACGTGGGAGTTAAGGCGTCAAGTGACATAAGGAGAGTAAGTAAATCCCATGTCATCCAAAGGATTCCAAAGGTAGTATATAACTAACTATGCTCTTTAAAATGGTTCACCGCTCGAGCTTCATCGGGGCTTCCTGGCACGCAGACGTGGCTTTCATAAGATCCTTCATCGGGCCAAGGGCTTCGCCGAGCAGAGAGCCCCTTCCAGTCATCTCAGACAAACAGGAAGATCAACCTTGCAACCCCGTCATGGTTCTTCTCATTTATTTTGGAACACAAAAAAGAACCATGGTTCCAAACCATTCCCAGTGAACCCCACCAGAGAGGAACAACCACGACCAGGTGGACCAAAAAGTGGCCAACGACAGCCAGCGGAGAACACCGAGCGTGTTCCGCGCAGGACGCCGAACGTGTGCATGTTCACGCGCGAAAAAGGCTGCCGAGGAGCGCAGTGTGATCCACGACATAGAGGCAGAAGCCACTCCTTAGAGGAGCGCGTGTGCAGGTGTGTGTTTGTGTGTTTATGTTTGTGTAATCAACCCTAAGAGAACAACCTTAAAAGGTAAACACTGTTTAAAAAAACTTTAGAGGAAAAAGACATTGAAAGGCCACCTCCCATATTTAAGACCATGCTGTCGTCCTTCTCCAATGCTTTGGATCTCATCCTATAATCATCCTATCATCTCATCCGCTGGATCGCGTAGGTCTCATCCTAATCCTATCTCGTCAATCTCAGCCAGGCGTCAGCTTGGGGAATCGCGTCGGCGGCTGGTCGTTCAAGTTCGACTTGCTCATGCTCCTGAGTGTCTCCGCATAACACACGGGCTGATCGGACCTCGGAGCGGACCTCGGGGCATACAGTAACCGTCCAGCATCACCGCAGAGTGTGTACACACCCCGAACCGGTTTGTAGATGAAAGGAGGGTTGATAAGTGTCCAGCTGTTGGAGGGTTGACGTCCTTCCTTTGGGCGAACAGCGTTTTTCGGAAAGGCTTTGGACTACTTGACGACCAGCACAAAGCAGCTGAATATCCTTAATGACATCCCTATGAAGACCGTCTGACCCTGTTGGTGAAATGCTTCATTCTATCCAAACCAGTCGTGCCAAAAAGGGGTCATGTGGCAGGAATCAGGAATCAGGAACTTCCACCTTATGAAACTCCCTCGTGGAGGAGGTGAGGTGGGAGGTGGCAGGCCATGCGTCTCTGGATCCTGAGGATCCCTAGGATTTGAGGCCCACCATTGGCGTGCTTTTGGCATGCGGCGATTATGTTCCAAAAACTCTAGAGTTCAAGATCAGGTCAACTTTTCTGGTCTTGGAAGGAGCTGGCTCTTGATGGAAGGTCCCTGTAAGAACCACCAGGTCAACACCCCAAACCAGAGATTCTCCATCGAAAAAGTCGGTGGTCCGCCATCAGTAGCATGGTGTCAAAGACAACACATGAATAATTAACACATTTGTAGTTCACACTGGCAGCTTGTCTGACCATTCACTGAAAAAGGCTCTGCCATCGAAACTCACCTTGAAAGGACCCACCATCCCACCTCTTTTCCCATGCACCTGAACTCGAACACGTTCCGCATTTGGACATTTCAACCACCCGGAAATCAGAATCCGATCCGGTCGAACTGATCATTCACCCATCCACATCCAACGATGCCCGGAGTCTTCGCTTGCGACGTGGGCGGGCGCTCCTGAGACGCTGTGTCTGGATGAGAGCTTTCGCTGAGGCATTCGCCTTGTGCCTGGCAGCGGCCAACACTGGAGATCGCGCGTGCGCGGGGCGGAGTCCTTATGGCCAGACCGAAAGACTGAATGCCTCGAAAGCAAATCTTGATAGATCTTCTGTGTGGTTGTTCTTTGCAGTGATGTTTTTACTTAGGCCAGTCCCTGCTCCTCACTGGGCTGTGGATGTCAGAGTTGATGTGATCAACACCTCACGATCGACCACGTGAACCATGGGCTGTCAATCTCATCTAAGGTCCAAAGTGCCTACACTCCGTCTCACTAACATGGAAGTGGAAAACCTCCTGTTTGTATAGGAAAGTAGTCTTAGTGAGTCAGAGAGTAAACATGTTGCCTCAAATGAGTCCCCTCGACACCGAAACCCGAACAGTTCAAGGCTCGAAACTGAGGTCGGACGGTTATTGGATAGACGTGATGTTGAAAAGTCATGCTGTAGTCCTTCTACCTTGACCGTCCAATGTGTGTTCAATGGAGATGCCTAAGTAGTGCAGAGTATATAGTCCTTCTTTTTAGTTGTCAGGCCTGACCTTGAAAGCACCCACCCACCCCGCATCGTGCAGCAAGCACTCAGCCAGTTCAACAAAGAGACCTCTAACTTGCCCATCCCGAACGGGTTGGACGCCCTCAAGAAAAACAACGTGTGTTCCACGCTGAGCACAAATGGCGATGTGAAAATGATGTGTGTGTTCACCTTAGGACGGATGCGTGGTCAGATCCGATTCCGTCAACAAGAGTCCTTTCACCAGCAGGACTCCAACCGACTCCAACCGCCCGAAAAAAGTGGAGGAAACGGTACCCGAGTTCCTCACAATCCATGTATGGAACATTTGATGGTTTTAAGATGCTTTAAGAGTCCACGTAGGTCAGTATTCCATCTGGTCTGCAAGAAATCGGTCCCAACTGCGCCCAAAAAACGTGCCAACTGCGCCACACATCCAAGAACGAGGTGTGTAGCTCAAATGACAGGAGACCCAATGAGACCAACCTGAGGCAACGACCCCCTGGGTTCGGTATGACCAGTCTACTCAATAGGAAAGTGGGTGTCTCCCGGATCTAAAATACATCCACCCAGACGCTCCAAACAGCACTTTGGTCCCTCAAAACCATAGGGGTTTGAGGGTCCAGACCCCTCCATAGGATTCGGGTCCGACCCCTGCATATCTCATGAGGGTCCAGGAGCGTCTGGGCAAGAAATACAGCTCCACCGCACTCCGTGCCTAGGCTTGAAGTCCTGGCCGCTGACATGAGCTGCTGCTGCTTCGTTGCGACTGGGTCATTGGCTTGTCATAGATGGTTGTGGGTCATGGCACCAGAAGCATCATGAGATAACTTGTAGCCAAGTCAACTGTTCTTCGTGCTGTGGGTCTATAAATGAGTCGACCAAGCAGGAAGCTTTCCTCACCACCATCAGCTTGGATCATGTTCCTTTGTTTTGAAAAGCGCCAGCGCCCAGCATCATCAGCTTGACCAGTTGCGAATGGAGAGAGGATGGAGGCTTGGCTGTGGGTCATGGTACCCGGAGCCGGCTTCACCCTGGTAGGTTGACCTCCCTGGTATAGTCTATTCAGAGTCTATTCTGTTCATGACCTTCGAACAAAACGGCCTTACCTGCAAGGTGTGTGACCCTGCAAGGTTGTTGTTTGGATGACGACATGGAGCCGGCTTTCTAGCAACATCCAGCGGCCCTGAAGAGGCCACGAAAAAAACAGCAAAGTAAGCCCATGCGCCAAAGGATGACGTCCAGGCACCTCCTGCTCGCAGGAGATCCCTTTAAGAGAACGGAGACCCGACTCGTGCTTTTTGGGCCGTCCCCAATCTCCCAAGAAGGACCTTTTCAGGATAGTTACACCCCTTGAAATCCCTTGGATGACCATGTTCCTTTACCCCCAAAGATGGTGAACTCCACGTTTCTTGAGAGGGGGGCTTGAAATCCCTTGGTTGACCTTTTTCCTCTACGAAAAGGTGGTGAACTCTACCTCCATGATGACTTTAAGGGAGTGGACTCTTTCTGTTCCTGGTCCAGCTCTTTTGGGCGGATGGAGAGCCTCGCCTTGGACTCCCGAATGGAACCCGTCGGCTTGACAGCATTCGAACCTGGAGAACGAGCGACCACGGGGTCAGTTTTATCAGGGGTTGTTGCATGAGGTGGACAGAGGAGATGAGTCATTGCAGGGGAGAAGATGCTGTTTTTGCCGTTTAGTCCCAAAGTGGTTGAGCTGATTTCACTGATTTCACCCATCTCTTGCAGGAGTCCGCTCGGAAGGAAGGAACAAATGTCTTTCTTTTTTGCCCTATATAGGTGGTTGTATTTGTATCACCGTATCGCGGCATGTGGCTCAAAACATGTGAGATCTCAAAGGGTCACTTTGAAGCATCAGGAGAGGTTCAATCACACCCCAATCCTACTGAGGGTGAGGATCTGCAAGGTTGGTGGCACAGGCAACCTGGCACGGGCTGGGCTTGCCTTTTCCGGGCGTTTGAGGTAGTGTTAGGGTTTTAACTTGTTTCAACAAGTCCTGAGGCGGTCCTAGGGTCTATTTATTCCGCATTGGGCATGTTGCACTTAATCTCCAGGGGGATTGGGGGGATTGGAGCCACCAGAAACCTACTTGTCGAGTCGAGACACATGCAATTGGAACTCGGTGGATTTGCAGGGAGACACTGGGTTGGCAGGGTGGGAAATCAACTGTTCTCACCCGATCTTCACACACAGGAGGGCCTTTGCAATTTGGAGATATGTCGTTCTAAATTAAAAACACACGGATTTCTTGCTTAGTTTGTTCACCTCCCCAATGGCACGCCAGTTCGGCAAAACAACGGATGTCTGTTTGTTAACTTCTCCACCTCATCCAATTCCTCAAAATCTGGTGTTTCGTGGATAAACACCACATATATGTAAGAGTTATATAAATATAGAAGTTATATAAGCATATGTTTTAGTGGCGACGATGTTCGCTCCAAGCCGGTGAATACGTTGGCATGTTCACCTTCATTTTCCCATGGTGCACTTGTTGACGTTCACCGAACCGCAGATGAAACGATGGGATGGCCCTCGATCACACCGGCGGGGCTTCGGCAAAACGATCGAACGATCGTCATAGTCCAGTTCAAGACATGGTTAACTTGGTTATATAATCAGAGTCATAGTCATAGTCCAATCATCATAGTCATAGTGGGTCAAAACTGGGTTACTTTGGCTGACCAGAGAAAATGCACAGAATGGACGAAACTACAGGAGGTCAACCTACCCTGGTGAAAGTGGATCTGGGTGTCCACCCATTCCTACATCTCCACAACCTGACCGCACTCCCCAAGAGTTGTGCATTTCTCAAGTGCTTACACTGACCCCACCTCACCAAGTGAAACTGGTCGCAAGTGGACATGGGGCTGTTAAACTGTTATTGACCCAAAAGGTCCTGCTCTTTCATCCTCCGACTGCCCAAGCGCCCTTCATGGGTTTTTAGCTGCTCGACGCGTGGACTCAGCTACAGCTACAGCTACAGAAGTGGTCAGCTTCAGCTTGCCCCAACAATCCCACAACTTCCAAGTGGCCGTACTCTGCTGCAACTTGCAAAGCCGTCGTCCCACCTGCCATAGTTGCATGTTTGCTAGCTCCAGCCTCGAGCAATAAATGCACAACTTCCAAGTGGCCGCACCCAGCTGCAACCATCAAAGCCGTGGTCCCGGAGGTGTCTGCTGCATCTTTGTCAACCCCAGCCTCGAGCAACAATCGCACAACTTCCAAGTGACCTTTCTCAGCTGCAATCATCAAAGCTGTCTTTCCTATTGTGTTTGCGGCATCCATGTGAACTCCAGCCTCGAACAACAATCGCGCATCTTGTAAAAAACCATTCCACATTGCCTCGAGTATCAATAGCCAACCTGGTAAGTAACCATTCTCAGGTGCAATCATGAAATATCGTTCTCCTCTTGTGTTTGCGGCATCTTTGTCAACTCCGCCCTCGAGCAACAATTGCAGAACTGCCAAGTGGCCATTCTCGGCTGCAACAAACAAACCTTCCTTGTTTGGGCGCTGCGGCTTTTGAAGCAGTCTTTCAATTGCGATGATATGATTAAACCTGCAGCTGCGAAATAGTTCTTCCTCCGCAATCTCATCAAAAGGCAGGATTACCAGCTGTACAAACGGTAGTGGTATCAAAGGCATGTCATCCTGCAGTTCGCCGATGTCGTCATTGAAGAGGCTTTGCTGAAACCTCGAGCACCCAACCTGAACTGAAAGGAGCTGCTTTAGTTCCCGAACAGTCTTCCCACTTTCCACCATGCAACACAACTCATCCTTACTAAGCTCGGCAACTGTTGTGCCAAACAAAGCCGTAACGTGCATCATTGAGATTCAGAAGCGAGAGGTGCCGGCTTGATCCATGGTCTGAATCAAGGCTGCAAATGCAGCGACACCGGAAAGCACGAAGAAAGCCTGCAGGGCAAAGCATTGTTAAGGTAGTTTGTGAAGCAAGGCAGAACCCGGAATAGCCAAACTGGCTTGTTCTTGTGTCCATCTGTTTGTCCCATCAAACTGCGAGTTTGCTTCTTATAGCTCCTAAGGTTACAGAAATGGCGTGTTGACCATGTTTAAGCGACTTTCATCCATAAATGAACTGTAACGACCACATTCTTCCAATACACTGTCCCTATTTGCATTCTATGAACCATTAGCAAATTGATTCTTTGACTCTAGACAACGCAGCTGGACCAGCGAAACCAGCTTCCTCGCACACCGACGGTCACCTCCCCCAATTGGTGCCGTGGAAAAAAAAACACTGGCCCATGGCGGTCTGACCTTCCCTACAAGTCTGACCAAGTCCAACTGGCCTCCTGAAGTCGGTGCTTTTTGGGGTATGACCAATCTCCATGAGCTCCAACTGACTTGTAGGCCGTGGGAACCTCCCATGGGAACCTCCTCCCGTCCGGGTCACCTCCCATCCGGGCGGTCCGCCGGCCTTGGGCATCGCCATCGGACTCGTCCAACGACCTCGCCCAGCGGACGGCGGAGGGACTGGCTCAGCCGCTGACAACGCCCGGAGTGGAGTCGTCTCACTTCCGGTAAAAGACAGGACAGCTGGATGTCTGGGACTGGCAAGCACGAGAAGCGGCCGCCCAGACGGGTGCTTGCTTGATTTCAGGGGTCAGGTCATATACTGTATGCTAGTCCCAGACGGGTCGTGTTTGGGTAACTGTAGTAAAAACATCGTAAAACAGTGGTTCCTTGGTCAAACCCTTTATGATTCAAGGTGGTCCTAGGGAGCTTCTGTAGCCACGGTCGGGCAGGGCTCAGCCTGGCTGAACCACCGCTGGACTACACCGCTGGACTCGCTACCATACCAGGGCCCCTGGCCATGGGGTGGTTAATGGACACCCCGAAATACCTCGTTTCGGAGCTAGTATTAGACACCCCAAACCGGGGGCCCAGGTATATCTTATTAGATCTTCTTATATTGCGTTCATGTGATGCTCGAAGCTTTGCCCCAGCACGCGCCCCAGCGCAAAGCAGATGGTGTCTATTCATGTGCGAATGGTTTGACCAGGCCAGTATATAAAGAGGACAGCAAAGGGAAAATAAGGGAAGAAGACTGGAAAGTCAACCAAAAGATATGGGACAAGACATGACAAGACATGTATACAACATACCAGGACCATCCAATGTCCAATGGACTATCCACAACGCTTAGGGGTCTCCATTGGACACCCATTCCAGGTAAGAAGAGTACGTCCCAAAGAACAGCGAAGGGAGCAACAAGCAAGAAGCAAACAACTACAAGTAGCGGAATTAAGTCCTATTCCTACTGGGGTCTTCCATTTTTAGCCACAAACGAATCACACAACGATCACAAAGAAGCAAGTTCTATGAGAGCTATAAGTCAGAGACCTTCCCCAAAATCATCTCCCAGGCAATGCTGAATTCTGGCCGAACTCCGTGGAAGCCTGGCATAGATGCCTATCTAGATGATCTAGATGAGTCCATCCAATATTTATGTTTGAGATTCGGCGTCCAACGGTGAACGAATGCCCACACACCACGGTTGCAGGTCAAAAGCCCTCCAACACGAATTCATCCAATCAACCGAACCAGTCCGGCCCAAAAAATAACAACCAGCAGTCACAAGACGGGGTGCTATCCATGGAGGTTTTTTGGGTGCCCCTGTCACATCCACAGCCCCTGGATGGGACGAGCCACACCACCCAGGCCTCCATGTGACTCCTGCATATCAGAGTCTAATATCCCTAGGGATCCACTGCCACCGTACCTCAGGTTCGGTACGACTGGGCCCTAGGGATCCACTCCTGGACTCCTTCGGACTTCGTTCCAGAACGCTTCCGGCTCCGCTTCCACCCGACGGCCAATCCATCCGCCGCTCCCCAAGCGGCGTCATCACGCCGCCGCGCTTGCCGCCGCTGCCTGGCAGCTCGGATCGACGGATCGACCAACCTGGGAGGTCTGGGACGGGTCCGGGGGTCTGGGGTGGTACAGGGCGGGGTCCTGGGGTCAGGGTGGTTGATTGATTGATTGATTGATTGATTGAGGGGTCAATGGATGTCAATTGACATCCGTATAGGTCAAGAGTACATCTTGCAGTCCGGAGTGCTATTCAGGGACGTCCAGTTCGAGGGGACGCCCAGAAGTCCCATGCAGTTCAACGAGATTTGGTCCCATTGAATGTGTAAAGAAGCTTCCTGACATCGAGTCACCCTTCGTCAGGTCAACTGACTCCCTGCAGGGTATGTTCTTCTGGTACTCAGAAAACGAACCCAAAACTCAGAAAAACCCTTGGAAAACGGCCCGCAGCTGGGGCAGCCAGGCTGCCGCCATGTGTTTTTTTCGGACCTCAACCGATGGATCGCTCTCAGTTCGCCGGCGGCTTCTCCACGTCACCGTCGTCGACCCTTCGGACGCGAACCCTGCGAACCGGTGCCTTTGGATCGAGCGGATTCCGGGTCCACCTTTCAGCTATAGGGTTTGAGCAATCCTTGTTTTTGCTAAGATACCCAGACATGACCTGGCATATTTTTACCTATATAGGACCCCTGAAATCAACCACCCCTGGCGAAGGTGAAGGGGTTTTATGCAGTGTGGCGAAGTAGATGAAAAAACCAAACACAACCTGTCTGGGACTGGCATAAGAAACAATACATTGACCACTGAAATCAACCCCTTAGCTAGGGCTCCAGTCGTACCTTCGTTTCGAAGGTGGGACCGGGGTGGGTGCGAAGAGGGTCCAGTCATACGTAACCTGAGGAGGGTACGACGACTGGAGCCCTATATATGGCTTTGATAAATCTGCCAGTCCCTCAAGTATATGGATTCTGGGGGAGTTGAGTACCGCCCATCGGATGATGGGGCCTGGTTTACTGGGCCTTTCCATCTCCAAAAGACTTTCGTCGATGCAGGATCATCTTTGACCACGGTGACGTTCTTTTCTGGGCCACCAAATGACACTTTAAAAATTAGACACCAACAAAACAACACCAGTCAGTCCTAATGCACTCTAAAAAGACTTGTCCTTCGTCGATGTGAGCATGAAGATTTCAAGTGCACACACACCCTGGCCTTCAAAGACATTTTTGAAAGAATGGTTGACCTGTTTTGTAGTGTAAAATCAATCCCTACATATGAAATATTTTTGGTTGTTCAGTAAAGGCCATTAATCCTGGGGCACATCTCACATCTCTGTTAAATTCAACCAGTGGTACAGGTCCATGTTGTATGGGGGCCTTCCTCAATTCCTCCTAACACAGAAAATCCGGCGAAGCGTTCGGAAGATAAATTCTCACTCTCTCTCTCTCTCTCTCTCTATCTCATGTTTGTGAAAATGCCAAGATCACCAAAGTGAGCATGCACGGGCTGGGCCTGGGCAATCGTCATTTTGGGTCTATCCATGGGTCCGTTTTTATTAATAGTTTTGAATAGAATCATCATTTAGAATCTAGAATCATCCTCAGGCTACGTACAGATCTTTGCCGCAGATCCATTCGCTTCATGACCAGAACAATCTCCATGGTGGCTTCTCCATTTCTTCCGTTCAAAACGTAAGACATGGGTTTCTATCGCTCGGCCTTGCTCAGAGCGGGCGCAGGAGTTCAAGGACCTCGGCAAGGCGAGGCAGGACGCTCTGCTCATGGCGAAGCAAATGCCGAATGTCATGAATCCATGGGGTAAATGATGGTAAATGTATATAACCCTACAAGTCCAAAGACCTTGTTTCACCGGAGATGGTTAATAAAAACACTACTTAAGGAATTCAAAGTAAGTTTGACCGGCTCTTTTCTGGGTCAGACTGGACTTGTATATCGGGTATCTTTCCATCATTCCCATGGACCATCGGAAGGTCCGGATTCACTCGACGCGACGTCTCCTTCGGCATCGGCCCCGAATCGGAGCCGATCGAGCCCGGATCACTCTCTCGGCCGGAGCGACTGCGCTGGCATTTCCCAGTGACCGGTGTTCGAGTCCACCACGCGAGCCACCCGCATGTGTGGCTCGGACCCTGAGATCTTCGGTTCTGACCAGTGCGTGTTCCTATGATGTTCCTGGGTTTGTCACTTCGTGGCCGAACCTTGATCCCCAGCTGGTTGGGTTCGGTCTAAGGCCGGCCTGGAGTGGCCGGGCCAGGGTCACGAACTGAAGAAGCTGCTGGTTGGTGTCCTGCGCCTGCTTCCCATTTTCACAAAAACCAAGAGAGGTTAAGTGACCTTATAATTAGGACTTTACTGGGATACCTACTGTTGATGGACAAAATCCTGCACCACCTCACCACTTTACCCTGGAAGGGTCGCATAGCAACCCCCGTGCCCCCTCATTCAATGTTGGCGCGACCCCTCTGAGGAGGTGGTGCAGGATTTTGGACCTTCAACTTGTTTTTGTTTCTCATTGTGGTGGCCCCAATGTTAACGAGGGAGAACGAGGGCAGCAAGAAAAGTGTGCGCAAAGTGGTGCAGGATTTTGTCCATCAACAGTATGGGATAGTCTAGTTCGGGTTCTTCAACCTCTGTTGGAAAGCCCTAGCCCGCTCAGATCGCCATAACTTAAGCATGACCCCATCGTCGTCCGTTCGTGCTCGCTTCCCGGGCACCTGTGGTCCAACTCCGCACGGCACGGCCCTAAGGATCCGGACCCTCAAAAACCATCAGTCTTGAGGGTCCCAAACCCCGACCTCTATGGAGGTCGGGTCGAGTCCAAAGGATCCTTAGTTCGGGATGATGTTATTGCATGGTGTAACCATTTGACCCCTTTTTGGGCCCCAAAATGTGCTGATTTTGGGCGGGGCGCTGGTTTGATGGACCGAGAAGAAACCCCCATGCTTGTTCATTCTCAGCAAAGCGTGAAGGAACCCGTCCGGATCCACCCGACGACACGAGCAGAGCAGACGCGAACCACGGGAACGTTCCCGCTCCAGCGCCGAGTGGCTCGTGCGTGTTTTGCTTCCGATAGGTTCGACCTGCACATGGAGTAGAGTCGCAGTCCACTGGAGTAGCTGTCTGGCGTGCAATGGGGTGGAAAGGAGTAGCGGTCCACTGAAGTGCAGATCAGCAGGAGTCGAAGTCCAAGACCTTTAAAATGGTGGACCTGGTGCTAGTTGTGTAAAATCCTTACTCTCTCTCTCTGACATCAAGATCTTCGTTCTGTACAAACCCTTAAAATCCTACTGCGCCAGGCTTCGGTTCAAGAATGTTCAAGGGTCTCCCCCCTCTTCCAGACCAAAAACTGCCAGGCGGCCGCCCAGGTCGAGACGGTCCTTTGACCACGTGGTCTTTTGGTGGGCCAACAAAAAACATGCATGATGTATGACCTGACCGAAGGAAGTGGGTGCGCCCCCAACTTCAAAGAACTCGGCTTCTGGGCGCGAAGGACCCCATTTGCACAAAACCTCTCACTGAACGCAAAAAAAAAAACAAAAAAAAACCTATCTGGTCAACCCTTCACTGATTTACTCTCTGTCTCTACGGCCCCTTTTGTTGGAACCATCGTCTTCAAGAAAGAACGACCCAACCCGACAACGAGCACCCACACCTGCCGGAACTTCCAGCATCTTCCGGGCCCTCAGGTGGCCGGCGAGGACATGCGTCGTGGCCGGTTTGTTCGAAATCGACGTCACCATGAGAACTATATACCTGGATCTTCCAGCTATGCAAATTTGCTGCTTTTGGGGTTGGTTTTACTGATAGGTTGAAAAGGCCAAAATGTTTTACTGTTGGAAGATCCAGTGCATTGATATACCTAGAAGCACCTGGGGCAAAAATTTCCGCCTCAGTCCGATTTGCCCCGGAGGATTCGCGGATTTAGGGGAAATCCGCGCCAGGTAGGAATTTCCGCGGCTAGCAGAGAATTTTTGCGCAAACAAATTTCAACATAGCCTTTCAAACACCATCACCACTGCCTAATACCGACCAGGTTGTCTCTTCCATGATTGCATACCTTGCATTCCACATAGCGTTCTGCAAGGACATAGCTTCACATCTCAGGATCTCATACCCTACGATTTTGACACTTCTTATAATTCATGACATTCACAAGTATGCTGCAACATTTGTTCAATCCCTTCAAAGGCACAAATTTTGTCCCGGGCACTTCCGGCGATTTCCCGAGTATTTTCGCCGTTTTCCCGGGTATTTCCGCCGTTTTCCTGGGCATTTCCGCCTTTATCCCGGGCATTTTCGCGCCAGGTGTTTTCAACTTTGGACTGGTTTTACTCCGTATGTGCTCATTCCGCACAAGAAACCTTCAAACACAAAGACACATATATGATATGATGGTAGCCAAATTTCCAGGTGGAGGTGGAAATTTAAATGCTGCCATTCTTTGTTTTCTTTGTGGAAGGACCGTTCCAGTGAGAAATGCCAAGTGTAAACCATAAACCTGAGAAGCTGCAAAACGAAAGCCAGCGCTTCCCTTTCTCGACAACTGCGCGTCGAAGCAAACAATTAGGCTCGCGCAGCTGCTTGCGGGCGCGTGTCAAATCTGCTTCATGTCTTGTTCTGCCCACACAGAGGTAACCATGTCAAAACAAAAACCTGCGCTTCCTGGCAATTGAGGGGTTCGGTGTCATTTTGCCCGGATTTTTCCTCTGCACGGGGGGGGGTTTGGATGGAATCCGATGTTTTAGGCCGCAGCCAAATCTATCCACATTGACATCATTTGGTGTCTACCAGGACCTTCAAAGTGACCGTCCGAGATCCCAGAATGAGGTCACTTAGTCACTTAGTCCCGAATGAGGTCACTTGGAGACTCCAAAGAGGTCATTCTGAAGGTCCTGGTGTTTCATTCCACTTCCAGTAAGACTAAGATCCTTTGTTTCTGGTGGCTATGCGCAAGCGACTCATGCTCTTCAAGGAGTGCTGTAAGTGAAGTATCGGAGTGCTCTTCTGAAGCTAGCCTGGGTCCGTATAAATACTATGTTGCTATACCTCTTACACACCCACACAAGTTCAAAGCACGAATGAGACTTCAAAGCTGTGGATTGCTGTGCGTGTGTAGAGGCTATCGAGCGGTTGACGGAAAGGGAACTTGAAGTACTATACCTGGTAGCTGCACTATAGCTACCCTGGGTCTCTATACCTAGCAAGGTGCCAACTGCACCTTTATTTTCAAGGTGGCCTGAACAGAGTGTTTTAGGGCAGCAAACCGTGGTCTCAGGCCACCTTGAATTTAGCTTGAAAACCACAGCTACATAGCTACCCTGGGTGTCTATACCTGGCAAGGTGCCAACTACACCTTTATTTTCAAGGTGGCCTGAACAGAGTGTTTTAGGGCAGCAAACCCTGGTCTCAGGCCACCTTGAATTTAGCTTGAAAACCACAGCTTTGAAGCCTCATGCGCGCCATACCCGGGAACAGAACTGTAGCTACTTGTAGCTACCCTGGGTCCGTATAAATACTATGTTGCTATACCTCTTACACACTTATACAAGTTCAAAGCACGAATGAGACTTCAAAGCTGTGGATTGCTGTGCGTGTGTAGAGGTTCTCAAGCGGTTGACGGAAAGGCAACTTGAAGTACTATACCTGGTAGCTGCACTATGGCTACCCTAGGTCTCTATACCTTGCAAGGTGCCAACTACACCTTTCCATTCAGATGATGCAAATGATGCATTTGGCATTTCTTGCATCACCACCCCTCAAAAATCACCTCCAACACAACCTCAAAAAACCTTCCCTCGAAGCACCCTCCTCCCCCAGCATGTGCCGAGTTGACGTATACCTTTCTCGGGCCACCCCCCCAGACCCCCTAACTACTCACTTCGTTCGCCAGACACAACTCCGCTAGCGCCTTCTACGAAGGCTGGCTTTCGTAATTATTCAACTCTTCTAGAATATATATATATATATATATAGTCTTTGTCTGACTAGATTTCCACGGCAAAAAGCTGCTTTCCGCCCCAGGACGGGAAGAGCCGAAAGGGTCTTCTAGGTATATCGACGACAATGGACGAGATTTGCTGCATGAGGAGAGCCATGGAACATGATGGAGCACCAAATTGCTGTGACACACACCATTTTCAGGCATGCTAAGACAGTCAACCCACCCTTCTCGAATTCCATCTTCCAAAGTCCAAAGCTCACAAAAAAATTCACCTCACATCCCTGCCAATAAGGAACCAGGGTCCCCGGGTTGGGTTTCTGGGTCGGTACAGCTTCAGTCTTTAGAACTACAGTTTACCTATACGTTGGGTGTATCCATATTACCAGTAACAAGAGGTGATGATGATGATGGTGATGGTGATTAAGTTGCAAGCCTTGTTCAAAAATAGTGATTTGCCATTGGTTAGCCCTGAACTCATGGAGACCAGGGCACAAAAAGGCCAAGTCAGTGACACGACGCCTTTCGTCACTGAAAGCCATTGGCTGGCCTTCACAGCAAGGGGTCGTGCTTGCGAACAGGTGGTAAACACTGACGACCAGAAGGTGTTCCAACGAAGATGAATGTTCGAACAGGTCGCCCAGCAAGTAGGGCCTTGCCGGAAGTCCACCGCCGGGTCCGCCTGACACAGTTCCTCGCAATCAAGGCGTCTGTCTGCCGACGTGAGTGCAAACGTTTTGATGACGGCCGGAGAAAAACCAGCCGGTATGGAGATCAGAGTCGGCCTTAATGGGCCCAGGATTTTTGTCAATGGGCGCGGACAAGAAGCGCAAATCATACAGTAATCATAATTGGGGTGTGGATTCCTCCGACAATTGCGCAATGGGGAATATGGCGTGGAATAGGGAGTGCCGAACACCGAGTGCCAAATAGTGGATAGTAAGTGGCCTCAATACCAAATTGGCTCCTCTTACACAACGAGCAGTGGCAGTAACCAAATTAGACAGTACAGTACAGTACAGTACAGTCAGTACAGTAAGTATGCAGTGAGCAACCACACAAGTCCACTGAGCGCCCTGCAACTGTTAAAGCTCTAACAACTCTTGCCATCGTGCTTTGCATTGGCACGGAGTAAAACGAAGGCGCTCGGCCACATAACTCCAGCTGGGTCGCAGGCGGAGATTAGACTTGAGGTGAATCAGGAGCTCCTCTGGCCAGGGATGCCATTCATCCCAATTCTCGTCGTCTGTAGCTGGAGGGGGTGGTGCACTGGGGCGATTGCATTCTCCACAATCAAATTGCAGAATTGAAGCCCCTGCAAGCCTCCTGGAAATCAACGTACTTCTCCTTGCACTTTTTGATTCATTTAAGTTCATCTTCTCGCATCGTTGCTTTCTCTGCGGATGAAGGCACATGAGGCGGACTTTCTTCTTTCGAAGACTCCTTTGCCTGAGCTCAAATCTGGTCAGTATGACTCCATGACCCCATCTAATCTATGGTCCATGGTCCAGTCAAGGAGCGGCAACCAAGCCTCAAGCTGTTCATTGGTTGGACTTATTGGGAAGGGACATAGATGCCACCAAGGGAGCAGATGCTCGGGTCAAGCAAGGCAGACGCTACCATATTTGTTGGTTGGACCAGATTATCGGAACGACCTTCACGGAAGCGCAGCAGAGACTTGCAACCCACGAAGCAACGCCAAACTATAGTCCGCGGTGCCCATGAGAGCTTGGTAGAGAGCCGCCGGTACCATGTAGCGGTTAGATGAAATGATGGCTGAATTCCCAAGCATCGCTGCCACCAGCGCACGGGCAGCAGCAAGGGAGATGACAGAGGGCTCCCAGCGACACAGTCGCCAAGAAGGCCATAGCATCCAATGGAGGCATGGGAGCAATGGAGAGGGGGAATGCAGCTCCAATGGCAACAGGAACAACACACAGCTTGGAATTTGCCGCGCAGCACGGCAAACAAGATCTGGGAAGAGCGGCCACGCGAGTAATTTGGCTTTTTGAATCACAGCCCAGAATCCGCTCAGGCAATGGCAAGCAAACATGCCAGTCGCTCTGTTTAAAGTCAGCAGAAATTCCGGCGGAAGCAGAGCCGAACTGAATCCCCGATGAGGTGATCAAAGACGTTGGCGGATACACGGGGCACGGGGTGAGTAGGTAAGGCAATCTCATGAGCCACCATAGGGATTCTTTTCCACAATGCCATCTTGGGCGGTTGCTCCTCCCGTTCGCCCACCGAGGCTGCCCACCACTTCGGCTTTTCCATGGCGGCGCAGAGTTCCAGCAGTGCCACGCAGCCGGTGTAGAGCGCGCCGGCCGCCTCTGCCACGGACGCCACATTGGGCGCCACTGCCTTGCACAGCTTGGCATGCAGCTGCATGCTTGGCTAGCGACAGCGTCGTGTCCCGCTCACAGCCGCAGGAGAGGTTGAATCACTCCAGCGGTTGGCGCAAGGTGGGCTCTGCCAGAACGCCCTGCAGTTCCGGGAGGTCCTTCACCATGCGAGGCGCAAAGAGCGCCGCTGCGTTGACCGACGCACATCCGAGATTGACTCCCATGGATGGACGCTTGAGGAGCTCCGAGCTCTCTGCGTCATCTGCCCCCGCAACTTGTCCAATTGCAGATGTTCCCCGGCTGACGCGCCCTGATTAAAGAGAGGGCGGCCGTTAATTGGCATCTGGGTAGCTGCGCAGCAGCCACTTGATCATGAAGTTGTGCTCGACTTTCTTGATGTA